AATCCAGACCCCAGGAACATGGGTTTCAGTGAGGAAATCTCGGAAATCTACAAGACCTCTTGTAGTTGTTCAGTACTTATCCTTAGTATAGGTGTGGACTTTGGGAGCCCATTCAACATAGAGAAATACTCCCTGAGCCAAGACACACAGGGGAGGGCCTAGGCCCTATCCCAAAGGATATGATAGACTCTGATGACACCCTATGGAAGACCTCACCCTCCAGGGGGAGCAGAAAGGGTTTGTGATAGGTAGGGTTTTAGTTGGGAGAGTGGTAGGGGAGGACGGGAGGGAGAAGGCAACTGGGATTGTTATGTAAAACAATCTTGTTTCTAATTCAAATAAAAAAAATCTGCAACAAAAAAAAGAAAAACTCACTAACCCAATTAGAAAAATCGGGATGGGGGGGGGAACCTTATTAGTAAATGGACCAAGTAGACTATCAGGATTTGAAGACAGAGAAGATAAATTAGGACACTTGAGTAAAGATTATGAAATTTGAAAATAACACAAAAGAAACATGCAACAACTTTGGAATATCATAAGAAGACCAAATCTTCAAAATATAGACAAACGAAAACAATACCAGATCAATGGAATAGACCAGATCTTTAACAGGATCATAGGACGAAACCTTCAGCAAATAAGGAGCCACACACCCACCCAGACATAAGAAGCACACAGAATGCCCAATAGGCGGGATCAGAAAAGAAATCCCCTGTGCTATGTTAAGTTAAAGCAGTAAATATACAGGGGAAAAAAAAGTAGGTTCTGAATGCAGCAAAAGGAGAAAAAAAAAAAAAAAACCCGCAAGTCTCATATAAAGGAAACCCCATCAGAATAATAAACAGCTGATTTCTCAACAGAAGTTTTATTAGCCAGAAGAACCTGGAGCAATGAACTTGGAGTTCTGAAAGACCATGGAGGCCAACCTAGACTATTCTACCCAGCAAAACTCCCCACCACAGTTGAAAGAGAAAGAAAAACTCCCTGCAATATCGACAGGCTAAAAGAAGTCATTCCCACCACACTAGCCCTGTAGAGACTTCTGAAAGCAATGCTTCAGACTGAAGAGAGGAACAAGCATAGCCAAGAGACTATAGAAAGAAAACAATTGAAACTATAGTTACTGAAATACAACATAGAACCAAGAACACAAACAGAATCAACAATCCCAACAAAATGAGAGCAATTGGCGCACATCTTCCAAAAAGTTTTAGTACTAATGGTCTCAACTCCCCAGTCAAAAGTCACAAATTTGAATGTACTAAGAAACAAATTCTATCTGTGTACTGTCTACAAAAGACTAGGTTTTTCTTCAAAGAAAAGAGTCAGCTTTAAACTAAAGGATGGAAACAAATATTCCAAGCAAACAGAACCAGGGAGCAATCAGTTGTCACTAACACTGTATCTGGAAAAAAAAAAAAAAGAATTTAAACTAAAACAATTCAAAGAGATAAACAAGGACACTTTAACCAAGGTGACAAATAACCAAGAAAACATTACCGTCTTAGACATATATGCACCAAATTCTTGCACATCCAGTTTTATTCAAAACAAATTATAATTAAAAAAAGGAAACATACTATTGGACTTAAAGACACACGTTAGTGCCATCTCAGTAACAGGTGATTTCAATACTCCAATTTTTCCAATAACTGGGTCATATGGCTAAAAAATAAACAAAGAGACCTCAGAATTAACTGATGAAATGCACCAAATAAACATAACAGACATGTATAGGATATTTCATCCAAACACCAAAGAATAAATCTCTAATCTAGGCCACATGTTTGAACACACACACACACACACACACACACACACACACACACACACACCCTTATTAAATTCAGAAAATTTTCAAATACCCCCATATATCTTTTCTAACTCAAATGCAATAAAACTTCAAATCAATACTAAATAAATCCCTAATAACCACACAAATTCCAGAAAATTAAATAACACAATACTAAATGATGAATGGGTCAAAAAAGAAACCAACACCCTCCTCTCTCCTCAAATTAAATGAAAATTAAAACACAACAGAAATAAAAAAAAAAGAACCTCTGGAACACATTAAAAACCATCCGAAGGGGGAAATTTATAGCTCTAAGATCCTACATTAAAATATAGAAAAGGCACAGGTGAATGACTTAATGATGTATGCAAGAATTTGGAAAAAACAAGAACAAACCAAACCCAAATCCAGTAGACAGACAGCAAGGAATAAACAAACAAACAAAATCAGAGCAGAAATCAGTGAAAGAGAAACAAAGAAAACAGTAGAAAGAGTCAATGAATCCAAACCATAGTTCCTTGAGAAGATAAGCAAGATCGACCAAAAAGAAAGGAAGAGACGGCCCAAGTTAGCAGAATCAGAGGTGGACATGGAAACATCACAAACAGATACCAAAGGAAGTCAGAACATTATAAGGGAGTACTTTTAAAATGTACACTTTATTAAACTAGAAAATCTAAAAGACATGGATGAATTGCTCAGGTCATTCAAACAACCAAAGTTAAACTTAGAAGAATGAACAATACTCAGACCATAAGAAATACAGCAATTGAAAACAGTAATAAAAAAAAGCCTTCCAACTCAAGCAGTGCAGGCCCAAATGGATTCACATCAGAACACTACCAGACTTTCAAATATTTGTGACCAATACTCCTTAAATTACTCTAGAAAGAAGGAAGAGGAGAAAGGGGGAGGAGAGAGAACAAAAAGAAACAGAAGGAGCATTTCCAAACTCTGTGAAGCCAGTAGCACTGTGATACCCAAACCAGTTAAAGATACAACAGCAACAAAAATAAAATCAAAGGCTAATATTCCCTGTCAATGCAGATTCAAAAATCCTCAATAAAACATTTGCAAACCAAATATGGGTATGTAACGAAAAGATTATCCATTATGACCAAATTGGCTTTCTTCCAGAGATGCAGTGATGGTTCAAGGTATACACGTCAATAAATATAATAAATCACATAAATGGACTCAAAGGCAAAAATTACATGATTATTTCAGTAGATAAAGAAAACACCCTTCACAAAATCCAGCAAACTTTCATTCAAAAAGTTTTAAAACGACACCAGTTGTGATGACCTCCATCAGCTGCAAAGAGACTTTTCTGTGGAATGCAATTAGGAATTATACTGGTTTGGTAAGGTGACAGCAGTAGGTTCTCCTTTAAGATCCATGACTTCACTAGCCCAGGTATTTGGCTCAGTTTCCAGTTCCAGGCATGCAGAGTGGCCCAAATCCAATTACACAGCTGTTGGTTACCACCAAGACATGAGTGACACTATTGCACCTTTAGGAGTGTCTTTCAGGGCTGGTCACTGTTTTGGCTCACAGGCATCAGGGCTGAAGAGAACTATTTAAATTGCTACCCCTCTTTGGCATCTTGCACAGTACCATTTTGTACTATGAAAGTTAGCCTTCAGGAGGAGGTACCTAAGGCTAAGATGGGTTTCTTGTAGACAACAGAAAGATGGATTTTGTTTCTTAATCCATTCAACCAGCCTGTGTCTTTTGACTGGACATAGGTCTGTGTGTGTGGAGATGGCAGCAGGATTTATGGAAGAGGGGAGAGGAGCTTACCAGGCAAAGAAGGCCTTGGTCAGGAGCTAGGTGTATGGGTACGGTACGGAGATTCCCATTACATGTCTCATTGCCTACAGCAAAGGCCACACAACATCTGCCAAGCCTTCTTACAATCCCATCCTGTATGTGCTACTTTCGGGGATTGTAATGTGTTCTCTAGTCCCTCAGCCTTTTGGGAATGGCCCCATACTTACAGATCAACTCCATTCATAAGGGAGGCATACCATCCTATACCACACAGAAGAAGCTAGCTACCCTGGGATTTCATCTAAGGAAGCTTCACTCTCAAATGCTTCACTCTACCAGCTACTGCAGGAAGCATGAAACTATCACTACATGCCATACCACATGGAGGAAATGAAGCTCTATTGGGACTCTCTCTCTCTCTCTCTCTCTCTCTCTCTCTCTCTCTCTCTCATGAATATTTCACCCTCAGGGTGTCAGCCTCGGTTGCATGTCTTATCATCTATCACAGGGGTCATGTAGCTGACATCCCCACCTTATCTTTGATCCTGCTACTCTGCTTACAAGCTAGGTTATGTGACTTTAAGTAGGTTGTGCGACTTTACCTGGGGAGGTATGAACAAGTTAAATCAACCAAGACAATAGACCAGGGGTGTGCATATAGCTTGGTGAACTAGTACATTTACTGAGATGACTTACTGCAGTATGGGTGACCCAAAGGCAGCTGTATCCGTAGGTGACAACTCACAAGGCTGCATCCCCAGAGTTTGCCGTACAACTTGCAGGCAACTCTACTGGAGAGTCGCCTCCTCCAGCAATTCTTTACTGCTTTTATAAGCCTGTAGGGGGCGTTTCTGAGGCTTGGGACTTTCTGACCTTCTCTAGCCTTGTACTTCTTAAGTTTCATGAGCCTCCTTCCTCCATCCAGGAGGGGGCGCTTCAGTCTAGAAGAAAGAGCTATGAAACATGCACATCTCCAGCATGCCTATGGCAATTCCAATGTTCTTTCCTTCCATGCTGATGTCTTTAATGAGAGAAGAAGGCTGAGTGTGTGTGTGTGTGTGTGTGTGTGTGTGCGTGCGTGCGTGCGTGCGCGCGTGCGTGCGCGCGGGGCGG